TAAGATGTGTCTATATGTACCAAACACCATGGTAATTCATGTACCAATTCATGGTAAATGTACAGTGAGAGACAAAATGACATCTCAGCCAATCGATTCAATTACTTTTTAGCATCTCATGTTCCTGAAAGAAACCACTTGCACTTGATGACCCTTAATTCTAAATCAAGGCTTTCCTGTCCTGGTACTAGTGAGACTATTGTCCACAGATTTTCATTCCAGGTGAAGTCTCAAGGATTACCTAAACCCTAGATTGCTGGATAGTGGAAAACTGACACTTTTTAAGTAACATTTGTCATAATGTCCTGTTCCTGGACATCAACGATTTAAAGTTCCTTATAAAACCATTATACTTTGAAATATCTTGCAGTTTAACACCTGAAAACAATGCAGTAATGTTTCAATAGCTTTAATAAAAAGCACCATAAATTTTTTCCATTACTCCCAGTTAGAAAGCATGCATGACAATAGTGGAGCCCATTCAGTCTCCTTCTTCTCTTTAGAACCAGAGGTGAACAATCCACATGATACCCAAGCTGAAGAAATATTCAAGTATCCCCCTTCCCAAACTATTAAATGTGTATTATGTACTAATAAATAAAATACACCAACAATGTTTCCCTAACATTACCATGCCTCTTGCCTCTGTATAGAACTATTTAATTTCAAACTTCATTCTACAAAGATGGGCTTCATCAACAAGAGCCAGTGATATAATCAAATCCAATGGTCATTTATTTAAGATTTATATTCAAGAAAGCATGACGCTTGACAGCGAATGGCTTTTGATGTCAAATAAAAAAAGGAGTTTGGTTTGCAGATTGGTGGTGCCAATATGAAAAGTAAACAGCTGGGGCAATTTCTCTTCAACCCATAACGTCAAATATTCAGTGGACCCCAAAACACAGAATCCCGGAGAATCTGAAAAGGGTCAGAAAATGATTTGCTTTTCTGACAATGTGACGTAATCATGATAATTGATTTTTATTTTTGGCACTCATTACACTTTGCCTGAAAAATAGAGGGCATTAATGTAGTTGGAGGCGATTTAGAAAATGGAAGCCTGGTTATTGGTTTATACGGAACATGGACTATAAGTGCTGTAACTGCCTAGCAATGGTGTCTGGTATGTCCTTATGTATTGGGATAACAACTCTTGAAAGCACTCGTACACCAGTTAGAATAGCACTTACATACTGATCAACTATATGTGACATGGACAACAAATCCGGGCTCTTCAAAGTTAAGTCTGCATATGCATTATTAACCTTACAGACTAGTCCTGAAAGAGTTTTAAAGAGGCCAAACCAGTCTTTTATCAGTGTTATGTTATCATATATGACAGTGTAGAGTGTGACTGCTTGGAAGTAAAACTAAGCCAGAACAAAACTTATACCAAAGTGCAAGAGTTAACTGGGAAAATTTACTAACCTGTTACTAAACTTCAATAAAGAACAAACATTCGTAGTTCGGCCCATCTAATATCACACCATCTTTAAATGGAGGAGGCTTTTTTGTAATTTGAGGAAATATTTTCTTGTACTTGTAATTATACCATTTTTAGAACATGCATAACTGTCTTAGTTCAAACAGGCACCAAGAGTATAACAAAGCCAAACATCAGAAAGTGTAAATTCTAAAATTAATAATCTGACCACAACAACTGTTCCCTCTAAATCCTTACTGTTGCCTTAGCAGGGAATACATTTGTACGGTGTAGTGGCTTCATCACAGTCATCTTCAAGGCAATTTTGTTGAAGCAATTAGTAAACCACACAAATAGCTCAAGAATGTACCTAAGAGTGCATAATGCCTGCCCCTATCAGAACTCATTTGTAATACATGTTTCAATTCTAGGCATCATAACATAAAAACAATGGAGAAAATGACTTGCACCTGGACTTATTCCTGGTTGGAAGGCTAGAGTCATAAGGAAATGTTGAAAAATGTATTTCAGCGTAGGCTGTTCTAGTCACAGGTGACTTATTTAAGGTCTTCAAAATCATAAAATTATAGTAAATTGAAACACATTTCATTTTGCAGAATGTCAGGTAGTGAAGAAAACAATTCAAGGGAAACTGCCTTTAATGCACAGAGCAGTTTACCAAGGCGTGCTACTGAACAGAAAGTATAAAGATGTTGAGGGACATTGATGCTCTTTGAAAGCTTTTAAGTTTTACAGTTAAACTGAGGCGCAGGGGTGATAACTACTGTATGTTCTAGTTTGAATTTCGACGTGTTTGCAAGAATCACTTTCTTCTCATTTTAATGATTGGACCCAACTGCCTTAGTGGTCATGGGTAAACTCTTCACTAACTTGGAAACCCAGGCCTGTAATAAGACAAAATGAATATGATAAACATTATAGTTACCATTGCGTCAAATTAACTAAAAAGGATTTTTATTTATTACAATGTAGCGTAATTCATTTCAACACATACAGTCGGCTACTTTAAGATTTCGGTCATTTCATTTGTGTTAGTCCGAACATATCAGACTCGGGGGAAAAAACTGTACTACTATTCCACCATGTTAAATACACAATGTTAACGTTCATCTAAATGATACATTTGCTAAGTGAAAACCTATGCGCTATGGGAATTATGGTCATCCTGACGCACATGTATTGGCAAATCAAACAACCCTGAAAAAGACTGCAGTCTAAAAAAAGTCGCATTCAGAAAACCATGTCCTTGTGAAATTTAGTTAAGTCTGCACAGTACAGTTTGGCGTTTAGTTGTGACAGTTGAGACGCTGATTTAGATTTTGATTTAGACAGTGTACTGCACTGAAAGTAAGTGATGGCTTTCATTAGTTTGAAGGTGTATTTATATACAGTCATCAAATTAAACTTCGCCTACGTTTGCAATAATTATTCACTCAATTATTTCAGTATTGTGTCGCGATTCAAGTCTGTACTTAAAATAATTGTGATGGCAATGGCGACGATTATATAATTAACAGGTTAAGCAGCCTGCTGGGTGAGCTGTTGGATTTTGTCATCAGATCCTGAAAGACCGTTCAACACAACAATAGTTTAACGAGAACTATAATCTAATATCGATAATCTAATTAAAAAAAACGAAGAATACGTACGCGGAGATCTACTAACAAGTCTTAATAGCTTAGAACTAAAGTCGGAGACCAAACCGGATTAAATATTCGAGGAATTTGGTGAAACAGAATGAAGGGGAATGAAACTGGTTCAGTTAAACAAAAATTGCCAACTTTAATCCGCGTTCTCCCACCCCGTAACAGTAAATTGCAAACGTAGTGTCGAAACGGGCCCCGGCTGCATCTGAACTCGGATTACTGCACAAAATTCTCTTTCCTTTCCTCTATACAGTTAAATTCAGAGCCCTTTCAATGGAGAACTGGAGAAATTCCTTCCTGGAATGACTGACTAAGCATAGTTTTTGGAAGAGACATTTCAATTAAAACTTGAAACGCAAGACATACTGTATGTATGTCTAGAATGTGTCTAGAGGTTTTATTCATAGTTTATACAGTCTATCTTTACAAATTGTCTCTGCAATTAATTAATTGGTTGGTTAATACGTTGCATATTTCTACCTTCATGTCATATGTCGCCAAATGGCTCCAGTTAAATCTTAAATCTTAAAATACACCACTAATGACAAAGGAAAAAATTATATCTTAATTGTTATCATCATTAGCCGCAGTATGTAGTAGATGCAGTTAGCAATCTCAACTAAGACATCCAAAATGTTCTGCTAACGCTTGACAGTCAATGATATTAATAATCAATTTCCTTACAAAGTAAAAGGCAATTGGTGATTAAAGTACTTGTCTTCTTAATTAACCACTTGCTTTCGTATCATCTACTTTTAGTAAACCTTTAGTGAATTTCTGGTGATAAAATTACCAAATAAACAGGACGTTAATACAAACCTCCTGCAACCCAAAATACTGAAGCATTTTAAGCGAGTTTGTTTAGTTATTACAGAGTCACGTGTGAATCAAGTTTTTAATGGAAAATCCAGGCTATTCGTCAAGAACAACACAAGGTGTCCTAACCTATTGTACAACAGGAGTTGCTGTTGTTGTACAGTACTTTTTGTAAGGTGCAAACGGATTTTGTTAAATTGCTTAAATTTAACACTATACAACATAAATGTGAATCAAAGACTGAAAAATTGAAACTTGATTTTTTGTTAAGTCCGCAAGCATAAAATAAGGGTTTTCCTTAACTACATCTATCCCCCGAAAAAAATCATCCGATACCTGTATGGCCCCTGTCAACCCTTGAAGTTATACCCCATGGGTTAAGAATGTTGAACTCATGCTAAAGCGACAACCGAGAAAAGAAAAACACTTCTGCGGAAGATTTTAGAAGTAGGCAAGAAAGACAATGATCATTTATAAATAAATCTAAATTTACTTCGGCCACAGACTGACTTCTGCTGTTAAAACTTTAACGTCCTATGGTTGTAGCAGTAGTAGTATTTTGTCCTTTTTAGCTGTATCGAGTTTTGTTTTTGTTCAAGGGAACAGCTCAGACATCATATGGGTTTTAGCGATTCATAGGTAAACGTAGCCTGGTACTTACTAAAGTATATCTGAAACATCTTGGTGAAGAATTGAATTTCACTGTAATTCACAGTGAAAAATGTACCGGTGTCGATACAAGTTAAGTCCACGGACTGTGGAGGTACCGAATAACATTCAAACTTAAAGCTCATTTCGTCCCATCAGAATGAGACAGGGATCTTTCAAATCTGTTAAGACGTTAAGTGTATACATTTAAAATGCGCATGATTTTGAAATAATATAGATTCCGCGATTATGAAGCTAGCATGCCTGTCATTTCTTAACCGAAGTCAAAGATTTTCAATTAAGTTCAATTCTCTAGTTTGTGCAGCACGGGTACTGTGTAATTGCACTTAGACACAGTTACAATGTATTACATACACTGTTGCATTAACGAACAACTAAGTAACAGAAAAACTAAGGTATTAACGAAAGTTAACAAAACGTACCTGCATGTTAAGCGCTGATGTACAGCTGCAGAATTGTCAGCAGAATTGTCAATTCCGTTTTCTGGTCCAGAGACGAAGTTCAGTTATGAAATCTGTTCTCAAAGAACCCTTATTTTGGTAAGAAAAGTAAAATGGTATATAATCACGATGGACTGACCAAAAATAATGGTTTGTAATCCGGAGCTAAGTACACAAGTTGAACCTGTTTAAAGTTTCCTGCAAAAGAATAGTCCTTTAAACAAGTAAGGAGTCTCTTCTTGAGCACAAAAAATCCACTCTTAACCACTTTTGTTTTTGCACGCCGTTTCTCGCGTCAGCGTGTTTTTCATTTAGGTACTAATTCTGGAATAAGCTCTTTAAAACGTTTTGACTGTCCATCCCGAGGTTCCCATGCATTCAACTCGTTTGGTTCCCTTTAATTGTACTTCCAGGACACTCTGCAATCACATATTCAGAACGCAACAGGTGTCAAACCGCACTTTCTCCAAGCGCTGAAAACCTCCAGTGTTTGAGAATCGACCAAGGTGTTGAAATGATTCTACAGTATATTCAGAAATCTTGCGGGAGATAACCAAGAGCAAATGTCAATAAAACAGGCATTAAGCGAATAGCCAAACGCCCCCAAAATAAACAAAATAAAGATACCGAGAGTAGCTGTAATGAACTTCTGAATTGATGCCTTCAGCTTTAATTCATTCACAGCGCGCGCGTGTGTGTGTGTCTAGCACCGTACCGCGAAAGTTTTGAAACAAGTTTTCAGATTATGTTTGCCAAAGTGTCCTTTGCTCCTCAGCTAGAGAACAGGCATCGAACAAAAGCTCGGTTTTTTAAACACTCAAACGGGTCTCCCTATTCAGTCAAATGTCGTGTACGGTGAGGATCCTGGTGAATCGCCAACCAGGCTTCTAGTTTGAATGAGTTGGGATAAATCTGTCTCCTGCTTCTCCGAGAAGAGTTGAACGGGACAGAGATACTCCCAGTACCTGGGCCAGCCCTCGGGAGCCTGCGCACTTTCACCGCACATAAGTACTCTAATGACAACTTGGGGGCAGCCTTAAAAAGGCAACGGCACGTTTCTTCTTTACCAGTTTATTCAAAGCGAGGCAAGGCTCGTTTAATCCGGTTGACATTAACATCCGAACTTCGAGCGAGCAGTGAATTGGTTTAGGAACAATTATCGGCAGGCGTTGGAGGGGATCCTTTACTACAGCTTTGCAGCGGGACGCTTCGAAGTAGGAAAAGTAGAGGGGAAACGGTCGAGAGAATTAGTTTTTTTCTCGTCATTCTTAAAGTTCGGTGTATCCGAAGCGCCATTTTTCGTGTACTGACGTTTGACGCTGAATATGGCAGGTAAAAAAATATCCTTGCACACTGGCACGAAAAAAAAATCCAGGAACTTTTTCAAATGTAAAACATGCAATGCAACACCCATTTTTTATCCTTTTGTAATAGAACAAGAAACCTAACTCGTAACAATAATAATGGTTGTATGCGTATCCCTTTTAGAAGTTACATAGGACCTTTCACCCCTGAGGTTCCCATAGTGCTTTATATATATGAGGAGAGCCATTTCCTCCAAGAATGATTTGAAGCGCTGCAGCCTTTAGCAAGGGCAGGTTGTTCAAGATAATGCTGGATTCTAACCTGGACACATTGGAGTTAACACCCTTTCTATTCCAAGCGGTAACACTGGGATGGTCATGTAGTCAGGACCTTGGTTTAATTCCTCATCTGAAGGACCGCACCTCGTAAAACCACATTGTCCTTGGTCCCTGTACTGAGGCACTGGTTTGGAAATTGTGTTTCAAAGGAAAGAGTGACTCCTATTGTTGGACCAGCATCGCTTCCAGTTCCAACCTGATTTTCTTCAGAGGTCTCTGATCCCAGTCCTGACCAGGCCCAGATGTGCTTAGCTTCTGAGATGTGACCTGCAAAGCTACGAGGTGGTACAATGTTGTCAGGTTAATGAAGTAATTCAATTTAAAAATGGAAGAATTGTGTCTGCTTCTATGGTTAAAGGAAGGCTGCTAATACATTTCCAATTGGATAATTAGGACACACCTTTACAAGACACCTGGTTACCCTGAACTGTAATAAAGTCAGTTCTTCTTTCTGTGCTGATTATATTGGTTTTAAGCAAATATGTGGTTACGTGGAGTCTGGTATCATCATGAATCCAGAGCAGATCCTGAATTATCTCACCTAATCTAGACTGAAAAGTTTTTTCCCCTTAATCCAAAAACTTTGTGATTAATTTAGGGAAGAAGGTTGGCATAGTGGAGCAGTGATTAGTATTGCTGCCTCACAGCACTGGGGCCCTGGGTTCAATTTCTGGGGTGCTGTCTGTGTGGAGTTTGTATGTTCTCCCTGTGTTTTGGTGTGTTTCCTTCCACAGTCCAAAGACATACTGGTTAATGCATTTGCCTCTAGGAAAAAATAGCTCTGGTGTATGTGTTTTTGTGTCTGTATATCTGCCCTGCGATAGGCTGGTGACCCGTTCAGGGTCTACCCTGCCTTGCACCCGTTGTTTGCCAGGATACACTCCAGCTCCCCCATGGCCCTGAACTGGATGAAGCAGTTAGAAAATGGATAGAAGAAATGAAGGAAAGACTAGAGGTATGCTTCAGTGTGCTACAGGTAGTCAGTACCAGTGAAACAGTCACTAATGACAATGCAACTAAAACAATTTCTTACCCACAAAAACTCATTAATGTTTAATTTTTACTACGACTAATTAATTAATGAGTACTTTCATGAATTAAAGCTTTACTTCTTTGTGTATAATTTCAATTGATTTTCGTCTATGTATAAGAAACACCCTGTATTTAAGCATAGCTTCTGGTTGTTTTTTTTTCATTTCCAATTTAGTATGGGCAGCAGGCCTATGGCTAGCTTCTCTGCATCACAGGTCTTATGTCCTGGACTCCATTATGGGCAAAGGTAACTTCTGTGCGGAGTGTGCATGTTCTTCTTGTGATCATATGAGTTTTTGCTACATGCTGCCGTTTCCTTACTGCAGTTTCGCTGTCTCCAAATTGTCCATCGTGTGTGTCCTGTGATGGACGTGCTTGCCGGCCAGAGATTATCCTGACTTTTTAACTCATTGTCTGCCATGTTAGACTCCAGCTCAACATGGCTAAACAGTTGACTAAACAGTTATTGAAAAAGGATGGATGTTTTGAAAGCTCATTTTCGTTTTCATGTGAGAACTATTTACAAAGAATCATCTCCTTCTAGACAGAAACTTTAACTTATATCTGGAAAATATTTAAGTCAATGTACTTTTGAAATCGAAATCAGTGAAGAATATTTTTAAATTGTTGCATTATCATTGAATAATTGATTTTTCTCATTATTGATGTCTGACAAATTCTTTTGTCTTTTATCTCAGCTGACCTCTGAAATACTTAAATGCATGAATCAGTTGTTTAATAGGGAGAAGTTAACATGTTAACAAGTTCACATTTAGTCTGCCTGTAAAACCTGGAGATCTGTTGCTCTCTTGGTCCAGGGCTGCAGACACTGGGGTTAGATCAGGGCTGTCCTACCAGACCCAATGTTACATTTGCATGGGCAAGCTGTTAATCTGAAACCCCTCTTGTACACTTTGCTTGTCTGGGATGGGGAGTGGGCTCTCCCATTTTATTATTTCTGGAAGGAGAAGGGGCTCACATATTTTTTGCTTTTCAGTGCAGGTGGGTTGAGGCCCAGTTGCTACAACTGAGTAGTGTTTCGTCCCATGTGTACCCCCTGACACAAGACCTGTGGTCAGTTCTGGTCCAGTAGCTCCATCTTTGGCAGTAATTACACCTCAGCGAACACCACTGACAATGAGCACTAAATGGAGTTTATTACAGACATCTGGGAGGAAGGTTAGATCCCAGTCTGGAGTTCTGCTCACCTACGGATATGAATCTCACACCCAGGACTTCCCTTCTGATATCACTCTCTCACCACCCCATCTCCACTTCTACACCCGTGTAGCTCCTCCCTAGCCCTTTTAGGGCTTTTTTACATGAAATAGCACGAAAGCAGGGGCTGTAACATTGTCTTAAGTGTTCAATAACCCTTTGTCTTCAGACAAAGGAACAAGCCCATTCCTGAAAAAAAAAACCCAGCCATTATGTTCCCATTCAATCAACCATTCTCAGTAAGCACTTCATGCCTAGAAGGTTGCAGCCAGCTGGGGCCTGACCCTTCAGGCACAGAGAGCAAGGTGGAGTGAGACCCTGGATGGGCACACAAGGTCATTCACTCACAGAAGCCCATGGAGACAGTTTATTAAAGGCAATTATTCTAGATGGTGTGTGATTTCACTGTGGGAGAAAGTTGTAGTCATGTTGGCAAGGGGAGAAAACCTAGAAGATGTCTTAGGCCAGAATCAAACCTAGGACTCAAGCTGTAGAGCTGTAAGCCGACAGCATAAAGGGCTATAACACTATGCTGTCTCCATTTTCCCAACCTCCAGCAGATTTTGAAAAGCATACTATGGTCATATCTACAGCACTTACCTGGTTGCTGTCACATCCCGTTCTCTTCCATGTGAAAGGATATGAACGTGGGGCACGTAGCTTGTTGCTTTCTACGATCATACACAACAGCTCGATTGTTGTGAGCATCCCATCTCAGCCTGAGTTTAAAATGCACTCTGCTGGTCCTACAGTGACTGGTGCTTGGTATCGCTTTTAGAAAAATCCGTAAGCTTGTAGTTTGTTTTATCATAAAAGGTCGATTTCTAAATAATAAGTATTAGTAATGTTGAATACTCTTGTTTTCAGTTACTTAAAGACAGTATTAGCAGTAAATAAGAGCATATTTTCAAAGGAGAAGAAATATTGCACAGGCATAGCTCCTTAATAGTACTAAACTGCTATTGCCCACGTAGAATATTTTACCCCTTTGAGGGTTTGTGATTATCTGTGCCTGCTGCTGAATTTTAAAATACTGAAGTTGCAATGCACTCTGGGAAGGTTAAAAAACATTCAAAGTTTGGTTATGCTGTACGATTACTTTGGTTCTTTGCTTTTTTCTTTCAAATTATTAATTCCTTCTGAAATTTCCCGCTAGCTACACATGTTCTATGATCTGTTTCTACTTACCTGGGTCTGGAGAGCTTCTCATCTTATTAAGAAAGACCCCAATCGCTTAAAATATATTTTTGTTTTTGTGCTGTGTTGTTTGAAATTTCTTAATGAAGTTCATCCTTCAAAAGCTCAGGCACAGCTTGTGTCCTGATTTTTTCTTCTTCTGATCTACACTAGTCTTTTAAAGAATTGCTTACATTTAGCAAATTGTGTTCTGTTTAATATACAGAACACGCTGTCAAATATCTTAGGAACTCAGAGCCGTGACAGATTTCAGCTTTAGAATACATCTGTTGTAGTGAAATAACATTCAAACCATTTGAAGCTTGGTGGCTGTAATACTTTTTATACGTACTGTATAAGAACCTCAAACTACAGATCAGATATCTAGGAGACAGTGCTTTTCATTTCAACTATTAAAATTTATTTTACCAATTTGAAAGTGTAGTAGGTGGTCATGTTGAAACATATTAAGCTGACACCCAATACCAGTGAATGAATGGATTGAGATGTTATTTTATTACACGTAAAAAAAAAACCTCTTGTGGTAACTGCAGCCTGACCAAACCAGAATAAGAAAATAAAAGGGGCAAAATTTTCAAGCAGACCCTCGAGTGTGTGGGTAATTTCTGTGGATGTTTAATCTATAATACAGAGCTCAACTCCCTCCTGTCAGGACTGCTTCAGGAGTGGGACCTTCATTAAACTGAGAGCTAGGGTCCCGGGAAAGCAATACTTTATAATGGCTATAGCGGAGCGATAACTAATTTAATCTGGCCCTTGGACCTGAGAACCTCAAGCTAAAGAAAAGAGTTTGTTAGCGAGCCAAAAAAGTTTGGTCACTTCACAGGCCGCGGAGCTATGCAGGAGCTATGGTA